AGAGAGGGAGAGGCTGGAGAGAGGGATGGGAGAGGCCCAGGGCTACAAAGAGGTGCACAAAGAGCCTCTCCTCAAGGCAAAACAACAACAAAAAAAGGTATTTATTTTTAAGAAATGTCATCTGCAGTCGGTACATATCATCTGGACACCACAATATTATATACATATACAAGACATTAAAAAAAAAAAGGGGATGCTTTTACATATCCGAAGAACACTGCCGAGAATCAGCCAGTTTACAGAGGGAAAGAAACCCAAACCCCAAAGACAATATTGTGCATTTTCCACCTTGTCAGCGGAGAACAGACATTCCAGTTTTACGGCAGAGATAGAGAAACCCCCACGAGAACATACCCAAAATAGTCTGGTACAGCAACTCACTTCCACGCGGGACCTAAAAATCAGTGGTTGGGGTATTTAAGCGATACCAAGAATGGTTTTCTTCCCCAACAGCAGCCTTAATTCTCATTGTCGGTCCCTAGTGCCGAGAAAACACGCAGCTGATGCAACTTTGCCGTGGGTTCTCCATACATTTCTACATCGGTGGGTGAAATGGCCCGAGATACGGAAGGTTGGCGGGGGGGGGTGTCGGACTATACAGCGTTACAGGGCGACATTCAGAGTTCATCTCTCCTTTAACGTAACTACACTCTTAGCTTATTATTTTCTTTTAAAAATATACACAGTTTAACCTTATCGATGGATTTCTCAGAGCAAAACTGGGGGTTTCACAGTCAGAGCGGGGCAGAGGGATAAATCAAAGATGCGCTCGGGTTTTTTTTTTTTGGGAGGGGGGATGCGCGTGTGCATTTATGAATGTCGATTATTATTTTCTTTTAAATAATGAATTGGAATCAGCAGAGTCCCGATGACGTTATCATACAAACTACCAGATAAATATTTACGCTTCTTGCTTCCTTTTCCTCGCCCCTTCTCCTCCAAAGTCACCCTCTGTCAGGTGGCGTGGAGATGGGCTGTCTTGGATTTGCTCACCACCTTCTTCTCCTTGACCCTCCGGTTCTGGAACCAGATAGTCACTTGGCGCTCGGACAGGTTGGTGGTGGCCGAAATCCTCCTCCTCTTCTCTTTGGTGATGAATTTGCTGGCCGCGTACTCCTTTTCCAACTCCTTCAGCTGGATTTTGGTGTAAGGGACTCTTTTTTTTCGGCCCCTCCGATAGCTGCTGACTTCGGGTTGTAAGGGGACCACATCTGGATCAACAAAATAATAATAGTAAAAATAAGGAAGAGGGGGAAAGGAGCATCCCGGGGCGTAGGGTGGGGATTTCCTTGGTGAGGAACGAAAGAAAGGAGGGGAAAAGAGTGGAGGAGTGCAAGTGAAGAGAAAGGGGAGGGAAGAAAGAGAGGGGAAAAGAAATAAGACAGGCAGAAAATGCATCCAGCGAGGGGTATAATGCTGTGATAATAGCAATAATAACACAATACTCATAATTCACGTGGTGGAAACCTGTTTTTCTTGGTGACACTCTCCACGCTGATAAACAAGGAGCATCAAGTCAACCCGCAGACTGATGTGCGCAGGTAATCAAAGGGACTTTCCAAACCCATAGGTTTTAGACACTATCTGGAGTTTCTCCCCTCTTTTCTTCTTTCCTTCTCTCCTCCCCCGCCCCCTTTTTCCCCCTCCAGCAGAAAACCGTCTCGGGGACCCCTGCAGACGTGCACCGCGGACACTGAGCCCAGCGCAGAGACAAGGGCATCCCCAGCACCTCAGCCCCTCCCGCAAGCTCGGTGCAGCCAGGAAGCCCCTCGGGCAGGCGGGGGGGAAGGCAAACCCAGCAAGAATAACCCCAGACCCCCCCTCCAGTGGCTACTGCAGGGGGTGAGGAGGGGGAGATGGTCTCTGTTTGCAAACGGGCTATGGGGAACGCGCAGGAAGGATGAGGGGAGCACCTTCCCCCCCGCTCCGTCGGCATTGGGAGGGGAGGACAAAGCACCCCCCAAGCTTTCGGGCAGCCCCAGCCCCTTCCCAGGGTGGGGGGGACCTGGGAGGCGAAG